ATGACGTGAGAGACATTATCATGGTTTTTCACAAAGAGAGAAACAGAGGTTTTAAGCATTGACATGGTAGAGGATTTTGACTTCCATGTTTACTGTCTACAATGATTGGAGGTGTCAAAGCACTTCAATGAATTGAATTAAAAAAGATAAAAAAAAAAAAAAAGAGTAAGAAAAAAAACAAGAAAGGACATGGGAAGAAACTGAGGAAGACAGGCAGTTTTGACAAAGGGGATGAGAAACAGCAGTGACAAGAGATGGAGATTTGTTGAATGACTAGCATTTAATGTAATAAGCTTGAAACGAATTATTGGCAGGTAGCACTGATAAGTAGAAAGAAAAATGAAGGAAAACCTTACGCTCAGGTGATTTAATAATAGTAATGTATTTTACAGTTCAAGAAGGATATTTTTTTTTTTTTTCTGTTAGCTTTTATTTTTATTTTAATCATTTTCTCCTCACCCCAAGATGAAAACAGCACCCCTACCCAACCAAATAAAGAGCCTAGAGGATAGTTTACACAGTGGAACAGGTCAAGAATTAAAAGGAGGGGTAGACTTAGACATGAGAGAAAAGAAATGTAAGCATAATGACCTCCTCTGAATTAAGTATTTTCACTGGACGTATTTAAGTAACAAGAAGATATTTGTCAACAGGTTTCTTTCAATGACAAAAACAACTGAAATGGACATAACCATTGCTGCTGCAGGTGATATTTATGTCCAAAAATAAGAGACAAATAGTAGAGATTGCTTTACATTCACAAATATAAAAGGTAATGTACATTTACAGTGTGTAATATTTTTGTAAAGATACTACACCCTGATCCAATACTTATCTATTCCTTAATGAGGGCAAAATATGACACATGGTCAATTTAATGTGAGGTACTCACATAATTGTGTGAGAAAAGAGAGAAATTGTCCAGTTCTCCATAGCTAGTGCCATGTAAGCATAACAACACTGCATTTCCGCTTCCCATTTTGTACAATTAGGGAAGTACTACTGCAGTTCTCAGAACTAGACTTGCTTCCAGTTGTGCCATATCTTGCTTAAAGACAAAAACAAGATTCTGCATTATGCCTGAAAATGAGAACACAGTTGAAAAGAGAAACAGATACTACACTCTGATTCCAGCAAGATAGGTAACAACGCTCTAATACTAAGCAGAGAACACGGATACTGATTCTCAAGAGTGCCAATCCAGATATAAATAATCCTGTCATTTTTTTATGGGTAGTATGCTGATATATAAATAATGAAATCGGAATCAGTTAGAGACTCGCCTATTTATATTTAATATACTTAATTTGGAAAAAAGTAATCTACCAAATAAAGCGAATCAAAATATTACAAAAAATACCAAATAAAAGTCACAGCTTTATATCCTTATTGTATGATGTCATTTATTTCTTCAGGCTTTTATTAAAACATATTTGTTCCATATTCTCTGGCTAGAAGAAGGATTTGCTTTTGTATAAGGAAAAATAACGAGATTACTTTGGAAGTTCAACTGACAGAGGTGTTGGCTGGTCAGGGTGGGAGTTGGTTTGGGTGGAGTATGAGAGGGTGTGGCATGAGATGACAAACAACACATCCTCTGTGAAAGATTGATCTAATTTACTGTTTGATTCAGTTATCAATTAGCACATGGCAGGATGCAGATCGTATACAGCAGACACCTAGGTGGAGAAAAAAAAACAAAATAAAACAAAACACCCTCATCTTCATTTCTCACCCTACTCAAGAAAAATTTTTATTCTCACGGAAAGTTCATTAGTTCAGAAGCACCATAATACAAATGGATTTCCTAGTTCAATATATATATATATATATATATATATATATATATATATATAATGAAATGAATTAAGTCCAACAATTATGTGTGTGTGTGTACATACAGATAGATACCTCATACACATGATGATGAATCGATAAGTCCTTTGCTTCTCATGTATCTATATACTGAAGTTTGTTCTGAAATTTTCACTGTATAATGTTCAATCAATTCACTGCTGAATTAAGTGTAATAATAAGGAAAGAGATTATGATTTAAAATAAATATCTTTTGTATAGAATGAAAGCATTTTCAACATTAGACTGAACCCTTACATATATCACCTGACGATTACATTTAGTATGAAACAGACAATCACCTCTGGATTTTGACTTCAATGTCTAATTTTATATCTACATCTGGTCTATCCCTCATATTGAGCACTTTAATTCATAAATATAAGATACCTTAAAATATATTTTATTATATGAGTACAAAAATGGATGTGACTGTCAGCTTCACACCACAAACTAACTCCAGACCAATGTCTATCTACATATGGCCTATATCTGATACTGAGCTCTCCCTCCCTACATAAATATAGTAAATTTTAAATCATATATATAAAGTGATGTCAAAATATTTTTGTATGTTTTTTTTTTATTGGGAGGTGAAATGTGGGAGCAGAAAGTTTTTAGGAAATCACAAAATTCACCTTCATTATTACTTAATTTTGAATAATATTCTTTTTTAGTTTAAATAGATGACAGGATGCTGAAAGTTCTAAGATTGAGTCACTCCATAAACATTACAATACTTGAAGGAGAGGGTTCCTTGGTCCATCTAATAAATTCTCAGAGACTTCAGATAGTAAATTGAACTAAATTAAACTGTCAAAAAAAGAAAAAAAAAGAAAGTGCTATATCAATATAAAAAATTTTGGATAGAAAGTTAATATATAATATTTTCAATTTCCTTTAGTATATATATATATATATATATATATATATATGTGTGTGTGTATGTTATGTGCAACATCTTTGGAAAGTGCCTGAAAATCATACCACAGGTTGATCCAAGCCTTGTGGGTGAAACTGAGTAGACAGAACACTTGGGGGAGTATCGCTAGCTGTGCAAGCACAAAGTCATAAATCATTATGGCTGAGGGCTTGAGCATGCTGTCTTTGTTCAAATTGTTGTCACGCTAGATAACATGCTCTTTCACAGAAACTGTAACTAAGATCTGCTCAGCATTGTTGCAGTATAAACCACAGGTGGGTTCTGTGGATGTTGAATAATCGCCAATGCACCTGAGTAAGCATCTGCAATAAGGATTGGCTAGCTGCCCTGGTAGATGGGTATCCTTGAATATGAGTGGCAAGCTATACATACACACACATACATGGAGGGTGCGATGGATAAATTGTCATCTAAATTACACAAAAATGAAAATAACACTAACATCTCATTTTAACAGATATATTTACCAAAATTACACCAAAATATCTTGAAATACTGAAGAGTAAAATTATTCAATAAAATTGCCATTGTCTTCAACCACACCTTCCAAATGACTGGAATCTCCTGCATCTCTTCTGGATGGTCGTCTTGTTAGGTTGGTGAATGCTGCCATAATCCTTGCCTTCAGTACATCTTTGGTGTTACAATGAATTTTGTTGATCCCTCACTCAACTGTGCCCTCGCACATAATAATAAAAGAGGATGCAGTCTGGGGAGTTAGGTGGCTAGATGTAAGGGGCGATGTAATGGCAGAAATTGTCTGATAGCCCTGATTGGGTTCTCCAGTGGCATGATGCAAAGCCCTGTTGCCAGACACAGGGTTTTCCAGCAGCCACCCTTTTTAGCCAGGGCAACACTACCTCCATGTTGATTCTGAGGCTCTGTGAGAAGATGAATTGAGGCATAACATCAACACTAGTGATCACTCCAAACATCTTTGTAATTACCATTAGATGCATCCAATTCTACACTCTCCGCAGATTGACACTCAAACACTCTGAAATGTTCTTATTTGAGCTTCTGGCATGAATGCCAAGCAGTACAGCATGCTATAACCAAATTTATCGCAGAGTGAATTGCAACATAATGGTCTTTTCCTCACACATGGTGCCCAACTGACCCTACTATACTGTGCAGTTGACAAAATCAAATACAAGCAAGATGAATGAAATCAAAAGTATAGAATGGCGACAATTTACCCATCATACCCATGTGTGTGTGTGTGTGTGTATATATATATATATATATATATATATATATAACAAAACTTTCAGGTGCTTATATGGCTCATGATAAATAATGACTTGAAGCAGTTTTCTGTAGAAGCTACAAAATACAAGGAGCTCAATAGCATTGCTTGATAGACAAAGTTTTCACCTACAAAATATTTTTTCTATGTAATCACCACTATTGGTTGTGCATTTTAAAGGTGCTTTTCATGTCATAGGTTGACAGCTGTGCAGTCTGTCCAGAACAAGGCTTGTCACATGCATTGCTGTCACCTATGTCGAAACACATTACCTGCCACTTCCACTGAGACGCTCTTTGGTCTCCATAAATTTTCAGCAAGCATTGATAAATGTCAATGAGTGCAATTTTCTACATGGAAGAGTTCAATAACACACCTCTGCATATACACACTTTCATGCCAGAGGCTATTTTACCGAACTACTAGCATAAGACAAAAAGAAAATTATTGGTTACTGGCAGGAAGGGTCAAACTTTATTTCTATACTACCACTGACATCATGGTACAACATGACAAAATTACTTTTACAGTGTTTCTTACTGTGTACATGTTATATAAAAAGTGTGAACACAGAAATCAAGATTGCACTGTGACTGGCCGTTTCATAGCTGTAGTGATCATCAGATCATACACAATCACACTACCTATGATATTGAGTAGGTTTTTCCTTGTAAATATACAATTTTTTTATTAACATGATTATATTGTGTGTAGTTAAAACACAGTCAAATTAGTTTCCAATATCCCCCATTAATCCTGATTGACTAATTGTATTTGATCAACATTTAATGTGTTAATAAAAATTTGAAGGGGACATTTTCTTTCTTTATTATATGACCTTAGAAAAAAATCTATTATTCCTGTTCTCATATCAGAATAGAGTATCAATTCTTTTTCCAACAAAGAAACCAAAAGACATCTCTTTATTAAAAACCTACTAAAAGGATTGTGTCTTATGGCCATATCACATTGAAACACAGGTTACCATATGATCAGCAAAGTTAAGCAACATTGAGCCTGGTCTAGATGGGTGACTACATGGGAATACCAGGTGCTGTAAGCTTAGATATGCAGTGGTGTAATGGATAATGGTTTAGAATTAGAAATCAAAGAGCTAAATTCCAATTCTAGTCTGGTTTATTATATTCACTTATGGGCAAATATCTCTTGAAAAGGTATGAATGCACATCTTTTCCTATCGGCTGGTAGTACTTTTATCAGTAAATCATTATTATCCCCTGCCCAAATTCTTGCAACCAAAAATATTTTTTGGCTTTACATAACCTGCAAAAGGTTGATAAGCCATAAAAAAGCAAACAGGAAAGAGTTGTAATTCACTTCAGAATTTACTTTATATTCAGATTCTTAATTCTAATTCCTTTCATGTTGATTATCCTTTTAGCTCTGATTTTGAGATCTTAGAATGAGCTAAAGAAACAGAATTAAGTTCTTAAATTGTTAAAATGAATATACCAGCAACATTTTCTCAAAATCAATTTCTAAACTGTAATACAAATATAGAAAATCTGATACATTCATTTTAGTTTACTGCAAAGAGATTTTGTTCACACTTTTATCTCTGCTGCCTGAAACTATTTGTTCTTGAAGTCAACATTATATCACTACCTTTTAGACAACCAATGTGAGTTTCGAAAATCAAGAGTGTATTAACCATCTTCCACTTGTGTTTCCTTTGCTATACGAAGATGCTGAAAAGTTCCAAGACTAAACTACTTCCCAAAATTAATGACTAAACATAAGAATAAAGATTTTGGAGAGTTTCAGGCCAAGAAATGTATAGTACCCAACACAGGACATTCAAGTAATTCAGGACATAGAAGATAATTAAGTCTTCCCTAAACCTTGTATGAAGATATTTAATAAGCTTAGTTTAATATGACACAATATCATATGTAGTGAAATAGGAATAGGAAGATTGTGTTGTGCCAATCAGCCAAGTTCAGAAGGCCAGTTTGTTTTATGGTATCAAATACTGACTACTGCCACAATAGAGAGAGAGACCACCTCAACAACAAAGAAAGCACTGGCTCCTTATCTTTATTAATGATGTTGATTATAAAGTTTCAGGTACAAAATTAAGACCAAAGAGTTAAGCAATATCAAAACTGTGACAGCCTATGAATTCCTGATGACTGAAGAGTCTGTGAAAAGGACAGATTGTTTGGAAGATATGATAAGGGGATTTGGAGTAGTGTATTTATTGGAATTTCTCCAGAACCTATGAGCCTCAAATGATGCCAATTTCCAATTATGGCATCTGGTTTTCCCCAAATGGCTACACTTTAAATGCTGATTGGTTAGAATGCTTCTTAACATCAGTGATTAAGCTGTAATTGCTAATGTCAATGCACCATGACAATAAGCCTTACAAAAACAAATGTTAGAAGAATTTTATAGTAAGGTCTTTATACTGAAGAAATAAAATATGAGAAATAACCACAGGAAATATTCATTTATGGCTTGTAGATCTTCTTGAAGTTTTACAAAAGGTAAGAGATAGAATCTAAGGAATTGTTTTTTTGCTTTCAAAATTTGTTGACTTGGATTAGGGAAGAGATGGATAGTGAAGAGTACACACAAGAAAGAGAAAAAAATGACATGGTGCCTGAAAAGTAGTGCTTTATTTTTACATTATTATACAAAAAAATATTTAATTTATACTGCATTTATATATAGATTGTTTTAATTCACATAAACATGATAAATATTTCAAAATACATATAAAATTTGTCATTTTATATAGACATTTGAAAATAACAGGGCTTTCACACACCCCACACACACTCTCCCATATACCTTGATTTTGTTAATTTGCAAATAAGTATTTCTTGTACCAGGCCTACTAGAGGAGTAAGTTTATAAAAAAAAAACAAAAAAAAAAACAACAAGAACAAATAAATTATTTAAATGCAAACATGCAGAAAAAGATAAAAAATTTCACAGGGCAAGGAGGCAATAAAGCAGACATATACAAAATAAGGTAAGAGCAGGTTTCCCCCTCCCCTCATTTTTTTAGGGGAGAGGGGCACAATCACATTGCTCAAGTGAAAAACAAGGTAACACTATATGTAGAGAAAACAAGTGGATTTCTAGAAGCAAAATAACAATACAACATAGTCCATACTAAGCTGAACTTAGTATCAGCAATAGAATACAACACAAACACCAGTAGAGAAATATAAAAAGAATCTTCTACTTTTTTTTTTTAAAATTGTAAACAAAAAAAAAACAAACTATTTAACATATTCAAAAAGGGAGAGCAAGGATGATGTTTATGTACAACTATTACAAATCAAAGAATACAGTTGTTGGCCTATATTAGTAAGAGTCTAAATGTACTCATTTGTGGAAAATGTGAATTAGACAATTGTGTAAATATACTTTGATATAGAAGAATAATTCTAATAAACCTTTGATCATGAATGTATATGTGTGTGTGTGTGTGTGTGTGTGTGTGCAAAGATCTAAAGTTCTGTATAAAATGATTACATGCATAGTGTGACTTAAGGGTGAAATGCAAACAGAAAACAAAAAGAAAAAAACTATCAACAGTAACCAATGAAATCATGAAAATCCAGACCAAAATCTTCACCAAAAACTATGAATGACAAAAAATAAATAAATGGCGCCAGTAGAAGACCAAAAGAAAATATATCAACCAATGAAAGTTTTAGATGTAGAACCATCACTTGACAACAAACTGCAACAAATTTCTAAATTACTAAAACAAAACATCAGAATCACAAAATTTGACAAAAAAAAAATGAAAAAAAAAGAAAAAGAAAAAAAGATGAGACATTATTTGAGAATGAGTATGAAAATGACATCTGTTTTCCAAAATTAAAAAAATAAATAAATAAATAAGAAATTTTTTTTAAAAAAAAATAAGCACAATTCTAGACAATAAAACTAACCTAAACAATGAATAGAAGTAAAATTGTAAAAAAGCTTGACAGTAACTGTCTTAATGATTTCCTTATAAAATGTTAAAATTTAAAAACTCAAGGGACAAGAATATTTGTGACCATAAATTTAAAGGTTTGAAATTGGGATCAGAAATCGTTACTAACCTGCTGGGCTATTAGTAATAAATGAAATTTCACCCCCAAGTTGATGGTCCAATAGGGTAGTCCCAAGCACCTCGCCAGTGGAATTGTCATTGTCCAACCCTGTGGAGTAGGGGACATAACATAAATTGGACAGTGGTAAAACTACAGTGACCAAATTTCTCACTATTTCTCTCTAGAAAAAGGGAAATAGAAAACAAGTGGTGTTATATCACACGATCACAATTGCTAAAATAAAGTATACATTCTAAAACCTCACAGCACCATGTATGAAAATAACATATACATGTGCACGTGGAGATATTATTAGATATCAGAGCATATACATTGTTTTAGATGTTATCAGACAACACAGCAGGAAGCATCTTTAGAGAAAACTAAGCTTCTCTTTGGTACCATGGATTGAACTCAAAACAATGCCATGGAGACATAAAGAACAAATACCAACAAAGACAGGGGGAGAGGTTTTTTTTATATGGAAATGGATTAAAAAAATAAAAACAAAACAAAAGAATAATTGCAACAACCACAAATATATAAGGAGGTGCTGAAAACTCACCAGTTTAATCCCCTCCTGCAAATCTGACAAAATGACCACATATAAATACACATGATGGGGTTACTGAAAAATATTTTGTCCCATCAAGAAGGTCTTTAAAAATAATAATCTTATGTTTAGTCACATTATGGGAAGTAGATCAGGCAAAAAAAATTTCAGCACCTCCTTGTCTGTTACAAATGTTTATGATCAAATGATACTTTGAACCGTGAACCAATCAATTTTTATCTTTTTTGTTATGACTATATCAATATAGATATAAAAAAGGGATGTGGGTGATGTTGAAGAAATAGCATGCTGGTCCAACCTACTGCTTTAACTAAGGACTTTCTGATTTATTTACTTCATTTTCTGATCGACCAAAGAGAAATAATCTTGGAAATTGTTGCACCATAGATGCATGGAAACATTCCAATCAGGGTGAGTTTCTCTAACACAGATCCAAGACAAATAAATGTTTGAATATGTGTTTATTTTTGTTCCTTTCTTTTCTATTTTTTTTAAATGGTAATTTCATTTTTAAGTGGAATTATCAGCCAATGATTTAAGAATAAATTATAAGAAAGAAGAAGAAATTAAAACATTTGTCTATCAATCAAGTATTTCATTAAAATAGAAAACAAATATATGGATTGTGATATTTCAATGTAATATTTACATTATAGTCATTATAATTAAATGACTACAATCTGAAAATATATAAAAGTTATATTATGAAAGAAATAAAAATATCACCTTTTTTAAAATTTATTTTTTTATTTATTCATATATTCTTTTATAATTAAAAGACTAGCTGTATATTTTGCATAATGTATTCTGTAGATAATCCCAAATTATTTCACAAGAATAAGGAACACATCTAATTAAAAGCAGTTTCAGAAACACTTATTTATATTAAGAAAACTGAAAATATTCAAATAAGGCAAAATTATACATAAACTTTAAAACTTCTACCAAATTGCTTTTATTAATCTAATAATGATTTCAATTATATAATGCATCATTTATAAACTAGTTTGTTATTTCCTTTATTTTCAGGTAAAAAGTCAATTTCTTTATCTTGATACGGAATGTAAATAGGAGCTCTAAAAGCATTAAAATAATTCCCAACTCCACAGGTTATGAAGGAATATTAATTTTAATATAAGTAACACAGAAACAAGTACACAAAATATATGCATGAAGAAGTGTGTTGTTTATATTTGGCTTAATACAAAAACTATATTTACTTTGATAGTCAAGAAAAATGCATATAAAAATAGAAGAATTACTTAAAACTTTAAACATATTATAGAATATGGAAAATAAATTAATGACAATTATAAAAGTATTACATTTATAATATTTTGTTTATATAAAAACTCTACACTAGTTATTTATATAGTATAGTGAAATAACCTAAAGATATACTTTT